CTGGTACAGGAAATACAGATTTGAATGGAGATGGATTGGAAGCGACATTGACCAATCTTTATCAACCAATTGCTGTAGCTTACTCTCCTACTTCCAGTGAATTATACTTTTCTGATTATTTACATGATAGAGTGAGAAAGATAACCTCTTCAGGATTGGTTGAAACAGTTGCGGGAGGTATAGGTGATAAGGGATTGGCTGTTAATGCAAAAATCAGAGGTGTTTCATCAATATTACTGGTAGACAATGATTTATATATCTCTGATGCATTCAATTATAGAATTCGTAAAATTTCCCTCTCAACTGGTATTATTGATTCCATTGTTGGAGCATATGCATCTATTTATAATGGCGACAACTGGGCCAATCAAACCAATATTAACTATGTATGGGATATGAGAATTCAAAACGGTGAACTTGTATTTGCTGACATGAACAATAACTTAATTAGGAAAACAAGTTTATCTGGTAAAGGAAAGGTAACAACCATTGCTGGTATGGGTGCAAACAATGCTTCGATTATTATCGATAATGTCAAGGCAACAAGTGCCTATTTGAAAAACCCTGGTTCTGTTGCATTCTTGCCAACTGGTGATATGATTATTGCAGAGACAGAAGGTCATATCATTAGAAAGGTTGATTTGAATGGCAATATTTCACTCATTGCTGGATCATTCTTCCAACCAGGTTTCAATGGTGACTTGTCAGATTCAAAGAATTCTTTATTGTATCAACCAACAGGACTTTCTATTTTACAGGATGGTAGAATCATCTTCTCAGACTTTGGAAACAATAGAGTGAGAATGTTAACACCATATTGTAAGGATGAAAAGTATTATTTGACTCAATCTTCACAAGGTATTGTCTGCAACATTACTTCATGTTATGGACTCGCCTACAATGATGCAAAAGTTTGTTCAGGAAATGGAATTTGTTCATCATTGAATAACTGCAGCTGCTCAAGTGGATATTCTGGAAACGATTGCTCAACTGCTGATATTTGTTCTGTCTTGTCAAGCTCATATGTTTGTACAACAACGTCTCTCAACACAACTGAAACTCAAGTTACAACAGTTCAAAATGTCACTCAATTGGATTCGAAAACTATCGAGTTCTCATCTACAAGTACTGTCACTGTTTCACTGCCATCAACAATTTCACAATACTTGACAAGTGTTGATTCAACATTGAAGAATGACACTGTTACTGTTGTCAGTTCTGTTTCATCAGCAAGCAAAGTAACAGAAACTTCTGAGGTTATTTCACCAGTCATCTCAATTGTTCTTGTCAAGTCAAGTTCTAATCAAAAAATTTCTGTCCAAAATCTCGAAGAACCAATTTCATTATATTTCAATAAGGTCAACATGACTGTTTCGAATATTGAAACCTTGAATGTAACTTGTATGTATTATGATGAAAGTGAAAAGGTATGGAAATCGGATGGGGTTGAAAGTGAAATTACAGAGATTATTCTCCACAACCTTGCTGATGGAAATGTTACCTTGACAATTTCACTTACATGCAAGACTTTCCATTTAACTTCATTTGGAATCATTGATCAAAACTACAAGAAGGCAACTACTAACTCTAATACTGACGATTCCACAATCTTGACAGATTACACAGTTTTAATAGGTGCCATTGTTGGTGGTGTTGGTGGATGTTGTGTTATTGCCACAATTATTACACTCATCATTGTTGTCATTATCTTTGTCAGAAGAAGAGGAAAGAAATAAACCAAGATAATCACTTTATATTTTACAAATCTGCTATATTGATATAATTGAAACTGTATTTTAATTAATAAGTTCAATTACAGTGTTTTCTTGCAAATTCGAAACCAAAGGTTGCAAACAAACAATACATGGCAAATGATCCGATGCATTTTCCTTATACTCACTCAATACCTTACTCGAAATCAATTTAAACTGATCCTTTCTTCCAAAAATGTGATCATAACTTCCCCACAATGAAAATGGGCCTTTCAGTGGCCAATACCAAGTTGTTTGATTTTCAATAAAATCATGGAAATTCATTTCTTTGAGGAGGGAGGCATAGTTAGATTGGAATATTCCAGATTGACTTGTTTCGTTGAAATCTCCTAAAATGATGAGTGGATAGGAACATTTTTGTAATGCTTGTTTCGTATAACTCTCAACTTCATTTCGTCTTACTGAAACGGTTTGATAGAGAAAGGCACTAATATGTTGTAAATTTCCACCTTCGAATGAGAGAGGAGGTCTCAAATGTAAATTCAATACTTGATAATTAAAAGAATCTTCAAGTTTCGAATTCTTTCTTGTCACAATAATATGCATGGCATCAAAATAACTTCCCTCCACATTACTACTCAACATTTCCACATCCAAATTGAGATTAGCTTTAGCCATCACTCCAGTTCCACTTGCTAAATAAACATTCGTCTTGGAATGATCCCAAACTTGATTAGGATATTGAGTAGAAAGTGTTGTACTATTCGAAACTGCAATTTCCCACCCAACATGAGTCTCCTGTAAACAAATCAAATCAACATTATCCACATTCTCCTTCATGGCTTGTAAAACTCGTTGACCATTATACGAAAGTGCTCCATCATAATTAACACCACCAAAATTCACATTAAACGACATGATTCGAAGAATAGGAAGAGATTTCCGTGATTCTATTAAATCATTTAAAATAGACTGTGGGTTGCGTAATGATGTATTGTTTGGAGGTAACGACATTTTTTTTTGTAAATTTGTGAGTGTTGAACTTTTTTGTTCGAAATTAATGAATGAAAATTAGTAAAGAACTGTGAACTTTTGATGACGTAAAAGTAATCGTTGCAAACTAAACGATTCAACTTATTATTATTCAGATATGAATCTGTACATCCAATATTATTTAGTCTTCTCTTTCTCATTTACCATTTTTTACTTTCACAAATTGAATCGACAATTGGGTGAATTTGGATGAGGAATTCGCTCAATTGCTCATTAAAAGATCCACTTCGCATACTACCCATTGCAGCAGCAATTCTGTTTTTCATGAGAGTTGGAGCGAATTCTGATGGATTCTCTAAGGCACATTCAATTGCCATCTTGAATAAGGAAAAATTCTTCTGAGTACTATCGGTATGTATAATATCCAACAAGATTCTAAAAATGTTATCCTCTGTAATTGCCAACAACTTTTTGTGAATAGCTCTCACATGCACTGGTAAGGCAATCTTGGGGGAGAATAAACTTGAGAAGCATAAGGGAGTATGAGCTGCCTCTTTGACAATGCTTGGAGATGTTGCAAGATTTTCATACTCTTCCTCTTTCATCTCTACAAATAATGGATAGAGTGCTTCAAAAACTAACATGCAATCACTTGGTTTATAGATCCACTTTGCTTGTCTGCATGCTTCACCAACTCTTTGAATAAGGTAGAAAAGAGGATTGGAAGATTTGTAAACTATTTGGAAAATATCACAAATTGGTAAAAAGTGCCTTCTCATCTTTTTCAATGATTGCACTATTGAATGGCTCTTCTTTTTGAAATCCGCCATTGATAAGCTGGTATCAATAAACAAGTGCACCGGAGAGAAATTCAAATAGTCACTTTTCAATTGTGAAAGAAAATTTTTGTTTTTCTGAATATCCATAATAATATCCACAATTTCAATCCTAACATTCTGTATGGAACTGATTAAAAAATCATTACTGCTACAACAAATTTGTGTGATATTGGAGAGCTTAGAGTTCTTGGTTAAAAACTCTTTCAAAACACTGGAGATTCGATTGATGAAGAACCTGCGA